GGGGATGTGCCCGCAACCCAGGTACATGCCCTTGACCGGAATCGAACCTGGGACCTTTCAGTCTGCAGGCCGACGCTCTATCACTGAGCCAAACCGGTTTCGGCGACTTTTCCCACTTTTAATGTCTAATTCTGTTACTAGAGGAACATTTAATTTTTACTCACTTGTTGCATTATGAAGAAACAAGTGACTTTTACTTTAGATTTTTCATGATTAAAAACTTAAGGGTTTGAATAGTACATGTCCAATTTCTGCTAATTATGATAACATTTTCTGTTCTATGGTTATGCCTTTAAAATTGTATCTGCTATAGAAGATACATTTAGGATCAATGTTTAATGTCACTTTAAATTACTTAAAAACTTTAAGAAAGCCAGGACCAGTTTGGCTCAGTGGATAGAGCGTTGGCCTGCGGACTGAAAGGTCCCAGGTTCGATGCCGGTCGGTCGGGGGCATGTACCTTGGTTGCGGGCACATCCCCAGTGGGGGACGTGTAGGAGGCAGCTGATCGATGTTTCTCTCTCATCGATGTTTCTGGCTCTCTGTCCCTCTCCCTTCCTCTCTGTAAAAGATCAATAAAATATATTAAAAAAAAACTTTAAGAAAAAGTTGATCACACTTTGAACAACAGAATATTTACTATAATATCGATTGCTTTATTGGATTTAGGTAGACACTAGGTTTTGGAAGCAAAGTTGGTTTAGGATATTTCTTCTTTCAGCTGTTAGTTTGTCCTTTAATAAGTTATTTACCTTGAGGGACTGTAATGTAAGGTAAGATACCTTATTGAGAATTGAGTAAGAAACATACCAAATGCCCAAGATAGTACATATAGCCATAGTATTTGCAGTTAAAAGTTACTTATTTTTCTATTCTATCTTTAATAATACTGAGCAGGGCTCTCTGAGGCTAAAGACAAGAGAAATAGAAATGACATACTCTGCAATGTTCAGTAATTAGCTAATGTAAATGTAGGCATAACTATGTACAGTAAAGTACGTAATATGCAGCTATAACTATTAGGTACTTCCAGTGTTAATTCCCAGTTATTCCTCATTAAGTTATGGTGCAATGTTCAGCCTCATGTGGTTGCAGGAATTAGCTTTGCTATGGTCCCAGTCAGATCATCTTTCATTTTTTGGCTCTTCGTTGTCCACAAATATGATTTTCTGTTTCATTCAAATCTACTACTCCCACTGACGACATCACAGGGTTATTATTCACTAAATCTGAAATGTGGTCCCAGGAGTGAAGGAAAAATTTTTCTAGGATGTTCTGGTTTTTATATTTCTCACTCCATTTGATGGATTTTAGATAGGGGTTGGCAAATTACTGACCATGGGCCAAATCAATCTCAATCTCCCTCTCTCTCTCTCTCCGACCTGTGAGATAAGAGTGGTTTTTGCATTTTTAAGTGGTTAAAAATCCAAAGAATATTTTTAACTCACGACAATTATATGGAATTTAAATGCCAGTGTTTATAACGTTCCGTTGGAGCTGCCACGATCCTCCGTGTATGTCTTGTCTGTGGCTGTTTTGTGCTGGACGGCAGAGCTGAGTATTTGAGACAGAGAGCTGTGTGTGGCACTCTTTCTCTTTGCATGCTGCTTGATCACAGATTGTTTGATGCAGTTAAAACTCCACAGCATTTTGAGTGCCATGTGTCCCGCTGTATTGTGACATTTAGTTCTATTTATTTTTTGCTTACCAGTGCATACTCATCATGTCAAAACAAGAAGAGAAAAGTGGATTTCAAATGTGTGCTTTTATAGCATAGTGGAGTGTGGGTTATTCTGTTGTCAAATTAGATGATAATGCATTGTATTTATGTGTTGACACTGTAGTTGTGCTGAAATAATACGCTATATGTTGACATTACCATAGTAAGCACCCATCACAATATTCCATCTAGGAAAAATGAGAAAATGTAAAATGGAATATGTATTAGAGTAGAATTTCTTTTCAAACAGTAAAAAAAATGAAAGTACTTTAATCAAAGAAAATTCCCAAATGGCTCATTTGCTAGCCAGTCCACTCACCTTGTGAATTAATTAAAGCACATTTATTTTGCAGCAGCTGAAAAAAATGTGTCTAGAGAAAATAAACTTGTTTAAAACTACTACGCATATCTTTTTATATATATATATATTTTATTGATTTTTTACAGAGAGGAAGGGAGAGAGATAGAGAGTTAGAAACATCGATGAGAGAGAAACATTGATTAGCTGCCTCCTGCACATCCCCTACTGGGGATGTGCCCGCAACCCAGGTACCTGCCCTTGACCGGAATCGAACCTGGGACCCCTCAGTCCGCAGGCCGACGCTCTATCCACTGAGCCAAACCGGTTTCGGCTACTACGCCTTTCAATGAGAATCATTTCTCAAAGAGCTGAGGCCATTAGGAGCAACATCTTACAGTCAATTAAAA